ATTTCGCACAAAATTTTAGAGAAAGACTAATGGACTTCCAACCTCCTGTAGTATTCTAAGCCGCGATTCGACACCACTGACTTAACAAATACGTACGCGTCAAGTGATGTTTCATTAGCAAAGTGGTTTAATGGTTAGCATGCGCTGACAGGGAGTTCATACGGAGACACATGTTAGCACATACGGCAATATAACAGCTGGAGATCACGTTCCCCCAGACACAATTTGCACTTGCTCATCCTGCATGTCGGTTGCTTCTTTATTTAATAAGCTAATACGCACAATATAGTTGAAATCGCATACATATATATGATTATATATATAGGTATATATAGTTATATATAATATAATATATACATTCATCCGGTTTGTCTATGTTTGCGGCTAATTTATCCCAGTTCAGTGAGCAGCTGCGGACATTTACGCGCACATCTAATGAGTTTATGAGCTGCCTCGGCAAATGTTGACGGACATATGTATGTTTCTAAGTTGGTACAACAAACGCAACACAAGTGCATATGTATGTGCAACATAAGAAATCTGTTAATGCGAAAATCCTTTAATTTCTTTGTGTGCGGCAAGTTTATTCGTGGTATGAGCATATAGCCAGTTTCGCCACATAGTCGGTATGTCCATTAGTCGTGTGAATGTGGTAAGTTCTTCCTCTTTCTTTGCTCATTTTCACTTTACTTATTTTAGGGTTAGTCGACTGATTGGTTTGTTAGTGAGCTTTGTCGGATTATAATGAACGCTTTAATTGCTTCATGTAATCCCCAATTCACACAGCTCAATCAGTATTTAGGTCAATAAGGTTCTAATAGCTGAAATATCATATTATATTTAATTTCAAGTCTTCTTACTGTGAGAATAGAACAACAGATTGAGAACTTAACCGGCAGTAAGTAGAGAACCTTATATCGGTATATCAAAGACAGAGAAAGTTTGAGATTGATCAAACTCAAACCCTTGTATGGAAACTTTTATTCGTGAAGGGTATAATAGCATCGAAGCTTAAGTTTTTTATGTTTTTCGACTAAATTTGGAGCGACATAGCTACTGTACTAATATATCGGGATAAAACTTTGCACGAATAAATGTCCAAATCCAACCAAAACTGTTCAAGCCCCTAGGTACTTAATATGTGGACCCCATTGCCTATAGTTGACTTTTTACCGAAAATATCGGTCAATGTGTAAGATATAGTATAATTGAAATTCATATAATAAAATAAATAAATGAAACTCTCGATAATGGTATGTCTTTGTGTCAAAAATTCGTTTAATATAAAATTTTGGCAACACCTGAAGTAATTTCCCGGGCTTCCTTACTTGTTTAGTATAAAGTTTTCCTAAAACTTGAGGGTATTTTCTTTGTTTTGATTTTTGCAAGTAGCAAAAGTATAAAATAATCGGTTACACCCGAACTTAGCATTTCCATACTTATTTTATATAAAATTTTGACAGCACCTGAAGTTATTTCTCGGGCTTTGATTTTTGCAAGTACCAAAAGTATAATATGTTCGGTTACACTTAGGTGACCATATTTGTCCCGGATAATCCGGGACGGTTTTTATTAGTCATCGATTTTTTTATACTCTCGCAACCTGTTGCTACAGAGTATAATAGTTTTGTTCACCTAACGGTTGTTTGTATCACCTAAAACTAATCGAGTTAGATATAGGGTTATATATATATAAATGATCAGGATGAAGAGACGAGTTGAAATCCGGGTGACTGTCTGTCCGTCCGTCCGTCCGTCCGTGCAAGCTCTAACTTGAGTAAAATTAAATAAAAATTGAGATATCTTTATGAAACTTGGTAGACATGTTTCTTGGTACCGTGAGACGGTTGGTATTGCAGATGGGCGTAATCGGACCACTGCCACGCCCACAAAACGCCATTAATCAAAAACAAATAACTTGCCATAACTAAGCTCTGGAATAAGATACAAGACTGTTATTGGGTACACAGGATATTAGGGAGGGGCATCTGCAGTTAAAACTTTTTTTTAAAAAGTGGGCGCGGTCCCGCCTCTAATAGGTTTAATGTGCATATCTCCTAAACCGCTAATGCATATAACAAATTCACTAGAAGCAAATGTTTTTAGCACTTTATTGACGGTGTGAAAATAGTTGAAATCAGGTGGCAACTCCGCCCACTCCCCATATAACGGTACTGTTAAAAACTACTAAAAGCGCGATAAATCAAGCACTAAACACGCCAGAGACATTAAATTTTATCTCTGAGATGGTATAAATTGGCTCTATAGGAACCGCGTTCAAAATTAGTCAGTGGGCGTGGCACAGCCCACTTTTAGGTGAAAACCCATATCTTGAGATCTGCTCAACCGATTTCAACCAAATTCGGTGCATAACGTTCTTTTCATGTTTCTATGTCATAGTGTGAAAATGGGCGAAATCGGACTACAACCACGCTTACTTCTCATGTAACACCATTTTTAATTCCATCTGATTCTTTCACTTTCCACTATGCAAATCAGGTAACAATGATTATATCGGGGTAAAACTTTGTGTGAATAATGCAATTAAAGTATGCCACCTTGCGGCCAAAAATTGTCTAAATCGAACCAAAACTGTTCAAACCCCTAAGTACTAAATATGTGGACCCCAGTGCCTATAGTTGACCTTCTACCGAAAATATCTGTCAATCCACAAAGAAATCTCAAACGAGTATACCATTTGACTTTGCGAGAGTATAAAATGTTCGGTTACATCCGAACTTAGCCCTTCCTTACTTGTTTTTATTAATTTTTTCTTTTTTATTCTGCTTAACCCTTATAATAGTAACCGGGTACCCACCGCGGTGTATTTGTGTGAATAACTTTAAAAAAATTCAATATTTCATTTTAAGCTCTCAAATCGTCGTTTTTTAACTTTAAAGAAAGCTATTTGTGAGTTCATTTTTTTAATTTTTTTTTTTATTCTACGTTGGTAATTTTCTTTTCTTTAAATTGTCACTGACTATTAATATTGGAAGAATAATTAATAATATAAACAAAATAATAATGATACTCAGATCGTGGGTACCCCGGTACCCGGTTGCTAAAAGACGCCGGTAAAGTTGGTTACTAACATAAGGGTTAAAACGCTCCAAATGATGCTGAGAAATTTATTTTCCATCCAAATTTTGTTGACATGTGCGGCACTAACTTTTCAAACAGGTTTTTCATATGTATTTCTACATGTAAAATATGAAGTATTCGTTCGTCTGAAATGTCTATGCCATTAGAAATTTGACGCTTAGTCAAACTTGGATTTTCACTAACAATATTGTGAACTTGCTCAATGATTTCTGGGGTGGTTGCGACTTGTAGTCGTCCTTCGCGTGGATCGTTTTCAAGCCTAATACGACCACGTTTAAATTCACCAGCTCAAAATTCAACGGTGCGTTTTGAAGGTGAGGACTCCTTCTAAACTTTAACAATTGTTCATAAATTTCCTTTGCTTTTAAACGCTTCAAAACAAAAAATCTAATCACTGTGCGATATTCAATTTTTTCCATATTGAGAAAATACTCTGACGCTTGTAAACAAAGAATTTATTTACAGAATGATTTGAAACTTTGCATGTAATCACGATAGATGTATCAACTTAAGAAAAATTTGGAGCTAGTAGTGCTATTTCTTGGTGAGGCCAATCAACTTTTCAACGAATATGTACATACATTAATACGACCGATGGCCCAAAGCATAACATTAAAGAAGATATTTTTAAAAATAGACGAAGAAGAAAATCAATAAATTAAAGAAGTTTGGAAAAACTAAAATATGATGAATCCTGTAGAGAACATAAACCTTTCTTGGAATGAGGTCACAGAAAGATCTTTTGGGTTATGGAAGAACATTTGGCCAGATTTAGATAGGTTTAGATGAGAACAGTAGCTAGTCTTGCTAATTATGAGCTCAAGGAATTAGCTGAGAAAGAAGAAAACAAAAATATTGATAGAAGTGATTTCGAAGATGAACAAAAAAACCTTTGATAGCGTTTGCGAAAAGATGTTTGGCCACTATAACTGTAATTATGGACCAATTTATTGAAAATTATCCAAATTATTACAGAAGTTCAAAAGCAAGACCTGGCGTTATACTTACCATACAAGTAGATGCTTTATCCACTTGGCAACAATTTCTAATAGAACGAAAAGGAAAACGCAAACTACATTTGATGCCTTCTTGACTGAATGATTTGGCTGACTTATAACTTTATTTGCTTTTATAAGTATATTCATTTATATTGTTTTTACTTTTATAAGAAATACTTTTTGGTTTTTTTTTTTTTGTATCCATCTTCTCATAATCCCATTAATTACATGTTAAGACAGCCTTGTTTAACAGTGTTTTGCATAACAATCTACTTTCATGAAACGTGTCCTACGCTTTAAGCGGGGTCATACTATATATTTACCACGAAGTTTATAACACCCAGAAGGAAACGTCGGAGACCCTAAATTAGAATTAAGTGTTTGCATAGAAAAATGTTTCATTTGATGAGATATGTTCACGAAATTTGGCATGGATTATTGTCTAAGGTGACCATGTAATTATTCAGATCAGATCACTATAGCATATAGCAGCCACACAAACAGAACGATCGGAATTAAGTGTTTTGCGGAAATTTGGGATGGGCTATGAACTAAGGCAATAATATAATCTCCGAAAAAATTGTCCAGTTCGGATCACTAATGCATTTATCTGCCATGCAAACTTAACGATCGGTATCAAGTTCTTGTAAGGAACCGTTTTTATTGATGAAGGGTATTATAACACTTTATGTATCTCTAATTTTCCCATTTTAAGGACCTATGAAACGACTCTTGGCTCTCTATTCACCCCTAATTCTGAATCTAAACTGGTATTTAATATATTGTGATTGCATGTTATTAAAATTTGTCTTCTTATCATTATAATATGTTAGAAACTTCAGTGTTTTCTAGTTTATTATTATTAAATTAAATGAAACATATTCACTCGACTCCTTTCAGATATTCACATGAATCAAGCACTTTACCTGTCGAATCTCTCCGTCCCGCGCATAATCGATGCCGCACAAAAAGCCAAACTCTTTTGCAGTTATGAAATGGGTAATCGCACACTCAATTCGGTTAAGTGGTATAAGGATGGGCTAGAGTTTTTCAGGTAAGTGGAGAAAATTGGCGAATGAGGAAATCTTTTAACGGGTGTTTAATAATGAAAGATCTTTTTTTGAAGCGAAGATATTTATCTGCGACTTTGCATTTGTTGTAACGATTATACCAGTACGATAGTGTGAAGGTGTGTTTATAGCACGCAAAGTCTTTTCATTCGTAAAAACTCGTAATGTTAATATGGGCAGAGCGGTGGCTCCTCCGAATGAACCGACGATGAAAGATAGAATAAACATAGATAAGCCCTCACAAAACAACACATCAGAAAAACACATTGTAGTTTTTCTTTATGCTGTAGACATCTGCAACTACACTCACTTCCATTAGTTCCATTCATTGGCTCCATCTCTATGACTTACAACGGGTTAAAGGCGCGAGTAAGTACTGGCACAATGTGTAACTAATTTGGCTGCGTAATTGAAAATGACGCAGATTGACTGTGAACTGCGAGTGGAAAATAGCGGAGCACATGCAACACACTGTAATTTTACGTGCCACTGAATATACAACCGGTGAAATTTTATCGACAAATCGAAGTGTATGTGTGCGCATCAACAACTGCGTGTACATAATGCTTTGCCACCGTGTCCACTCTTGCCACGTGCCGATAACCAGCACGAGCTTGTCGCCAGTTTTTTTCCATTTGGCGAATTTTATTGGCCTTGGCAGCTACAGTTTTTAATTGACGGAAATTCGCAGTCGCTTTTAATTGGCCGAAAACATACACAATTTTTTCCGGTGCAGATTACCATTACCAACTTATATTCCACATAATTTTCAACATTTGATAGTGCGATTTTTTCACACTTTTAAGTAATACTTGTGCATATGTATACTTTATATATATGATCATCTGTATTAACTACTAATTTATAGTAGACGGGTTTACTTACACTATATGTCAACAATTTTTTTACATACATATATATAAATTAAAGCACATGTACCATAAGTAAATATATAAACTTTTAAAATTACTTAAATGGTTATATACATAAATACTTGTATATATAAGTATAATACATACACTTTTCGCCTTTCAATTAACCGGTAAGCTATAATTGGGCTAATTGAAAGGTATTTGCTACAAAAAAATGGATTAAAATAATAAAATCAATATAAAATTTTATAAACGCATTAAACAATTTGCCAAAATGCCACTTTAAGCTCAAAAAATAAAGGCATGATGATATGTGCTAATAGTTTTAGCAAACAATCAACAACAAACAAACAAATTGGATTCAAATCAGTAAGAAAGAATAAACTTATTGGAACAGCCGCTAAACACCACTTAGATTTTTATTTGACAAATCCCTATATAATTTTGGTCACATTATATAATATAATAAATATTATATCATAAAAAGGTTTATCTATATTAAAATTTCATTTCATTTCATTTTAATGCAAATATTTCGCTTATACAAAGTTTCTTAAGCCGGGTTTAGAACAAATTTTCTACTATAAAAGAAAATTTGCAGACCTGACAAAATTAACAACTATTGCTTAATTTTCGGAACAGTATCTGTCTAGACAGCTCTGGTCAGGGGAAAAAATATTTTGAAATATCTAATAAAGTATATTGTTAACAATATTATTTCGAAAACTTACGCATAGTCATTAGGCCAATTTATTATTAATTTCGGTAACTGCTTACCAAGAGTCGGAGGCGCAACTTGTTGCTATTATAAGTGATAAGATTAACGGGAGGGACGAAAATTATTACATTGCAGTCATGAAGGTTACGAGAAGGTATCATTTGTTGTTGGCAGCAAAGCTGATTATAAAGGGTGTTTTATAGGAGTGTGATTTTCAGATTCAGATCAGACAATACTTTCCTCGCAGTTGGTCTTTCTGACAGCTGCTACTTGATTTTAACTCAGTTTTTGCTTGCGATTTCATAATGAACATGAATTTACTTCGGAACAACGTTTGCAAATTGTGCAACTTCACTAGCAAAATAATGGTTTGGTTGTCTTGATGCATCGCACGCTTCTCCCAATATTCAGTCGATATATGGATCAATTTCACACCACGTTTACTATAGTGAATAATGCGCATCCTCAGAGTCGCCGTACAGTGCGCGCCGAAGACGCTATTGCTGCTGTGGAGCACAGTCTCGAAAAACACCCGAACGAGTCAATCCGCTATCACGCAACAATTGGAGCCATGACCATTCACTTTATGGAAGATTTTGCGGAAGGATTTTGGTTAATGACCATTAAACGCACATTTGGTGATCCCAATTTTAACAAGAAAATTTTGTTCAGGGATGAAGCTTTATTTTGTTTGAATGGATACGCTAATTAACAAACTTGTCGCATTTGGAGTGATTTAATTCACAAACCACTGTTAAGAAGCCGTTGCATCCTCAAACATCATACGTTTCATTTTGTTGAAAGCAGATATGATTAATTTCTTCCGTGCAGTACGACTATTTAAGGCTTCTTTCCTCAAAATTTTGCATAAGTTATCATTATATATCATCATGAATGGTTTTGCCATCATCACAAAGTTTTACTATAAGTTTTCTCATGTTAAGATCAATTTCTTTTTTTTTTTTGTATGTGGTAGCAAAATAGATATGGAAAAAATTATCAAAAGCAAGTAAGCATACTTCGGTTTACCATAATCTAAATCAAATAATAACTACAAAGCATTAAAAACTGTTTATATCGGGTCTATGCCTCAGTTCAGAAGGGATCGGTTTTATCATAATGTAGTAAAGAAGATATTTTGAAGGGTGAAGGCCTCTCACCAAAGGTTGTACGAAACCTTAGTCAAGCCAATAGTGTTTTATGTATTCGTCTGGTAGAGAGCGGTCGGAAAAGCTAAACTCGCTATGAAATTTGAAATTGGAATATATGTGCCTCTCAATGGCATTGTACACATTGAACCAGTGGATATAGCTGGCAGCTGTAGTACTGTGAGGGTCGCTGTAAGACTCAGGGCTTCTGGGTATATGATCGCGTCCGAAACGGACATTCTGAAATTCTCTCCTTCTTTCACTGCATCCCTGAAAAGTTGGACCACAAATACCGAAGTTTTTACTGGTCACTGCACAATAGTCATGAGGTAAGCCTGATAATTTTTTTTGACACTAACTGTGAAAGGTGCATGGTGAGGTGAGATAGAAATATGATATTAAGAGACGATGAAGTTTAAACAACTAAATATCATGAAACCCGAATTGCATGAATTCTTAAAAATGATTACGCGTAATAAAACTACAATAAATATACAGTTAATTTAGATGTTGAATTTTATATATTTTTATTTTAAGAATTTGTAATAACTAAAAAAGGCAAAAAATAAAAACTTGATAACTAAAATCGTGAACCACATACTCTGTTAAATATTTGAAATAACTCTAAACTTGTGTTACATTTTTTTGCTTTCACAATAGGCTTAAATAAATCCTCTTAAATTATAAGCTACATTTTTCGAAATTTCAAAAATTAAAAAAAATTTCAAACTGAACTTGTTTTCAATATTCAACTAATCTTAAATTGTCAATATCAAAACACAAATTTTTTAATCACAATCAGGTCACCAGCAGGCAACCACAATCAGAGACCTCACAACTCAACGAGCCATTTAAAAATCATTGCAAATATATGTTTTGCGAAATTCCCATTCTCCAAACAATGGCCACATTGAGTGGTCCAATTAATTGGCTTTATCGAACGACACATTCGAGCAGAAAATAAAAATGGTGCCACGTTTCCTATAGGAAATTACTGGCACTTTACAACCATTATGGTATCTGAAAAATGTACAACTACTTCATATCGCCAGAAATATGTCTGGTGGCCTTATACTGCTACATCACTTTTCCTAAGGGGTGCTTACAACTACATAAAAAATGTGTATTTGTAACATTTCGTCGAGTTTTATGCAAATTTATCTGCGGCAACCTAAGCCAAAAATCAATTTCAATTACAATACCCCATTTTTTAGTTCCACTATTGTGCAATTATCAACAACAAATGGCCATGCCCGCAATAAAGAAGAGAAATAAAGCATAATAACATTGCGGAATCCCTAAACTGTACTTAAAACTATAAAAACCTGTCAGTTAGGAGGCAAAAAATTGCGGCCAAATAAATGCTTTCAAAGCGGTGGTAATTTGGTTGAATGCTGCAAAAAAATATACAAAATATACAATTAAAAAAATTTACGTTAATAATTGTAAAAGTGTCATTCATTAATACATTTTTGCCAATTATAAGAAATATACTACGTAAGAAATAACTGTGACGGAGCATTTTACTCCTTCGACCTTTGAGACGCCGATTACCGATTTTGTATACCCTGTTCAGGGTATACGCTACAATCTTACACCATAACATTTTGAATGTATGGTATCTAGACTATTAAGAAATCCGTGCTTCCGAGAAATGTCCCCATCTTCCGTCAAAATTAATATAATAAAGTTAATGATAGTAAAATAAATCATATAGGTCCATCCTTATAAAAAGTGTTACAGTGATCAGATTTAGTTAAAATATGCGCCGTTTTGTTCGATGATCTGTTTCCATCTAGACGGCAACTTCATAATACCTTCCTCGTAGAAGCCCCCCTCCTTATTTGCGAAGAATTCGGACAGCCACTTTTCACAAGCCTCTTTTGAGTTCAACTTCACACCACCAAGGGCATTCGCCATGGACAGGAACAGGTGATAATCACTTGGCGCTACGTCCGGGCTATATGGTGGATGCGATAAAACCTCCCTTCTGACGAGTCATCAACGAAGTGTGTGGTCTGGCGTTGTCCTGGTGGAACACTACACCCTTCCTGTTGGCCAATTCTGGACGCTTCTGGTCGATCGCCTGCTTCAAGCGGTCCAGTTGTTCGCAGTAGATGGTAGAATTAAGCGTCTGGCCATATGGTAGCAGCTCATAGTGGATGATTCCCTTCCAATCCCACCAAACACACAGCAAAACCTTCCTGGCCGTCAATCCCGGCTTGGCCACTGTTTGGGACGATTCACCGGCCTTCGACCACGACCGTTTTCGCTTGATATTGTCGTATGTGATCCATTTTTCGTCGCCAGTCACCATCCGCTTTAAGAATGGGACGAGTTCGTTCCGTTTCAGCAGCATATCGCAGGCGTTGATTCGGTCCAGAAGGTTTTTTTGCGTCAAATTATGCGGCACCCAAACATCAAACTTTTTTTTGTATCCAGCCTTCTGCAGATGGTTCAAAATGGTTTGGTGACTAACTCCCATCTCCTGGGCGATGTCACGAGATGCCATATGCCGGTCTAACTCGATGTATTCCATGATTTGATCGGTATTTGTCGTCACAGGTCTTCCGCCGGCTGGCTTATCCATGGTGTCGTTTTCAAAGGCTCTGAATCGTCGAAATCATTCCTCCGCGGTTTGAAGTGATAGAGTACCATCCCCCAAAACACCATTAGTCTCACGGAACGTTTCTCTAGCGGATTTGCCTTTAACAAAGGAAAACTTTAAAATAGCGCGAATTTCGGCGTTAGTGAACTCCATGTTTACACGTCTATAACTGTTGAACGCAATATCCAAACTAATCATGTATAGCGTTGTTTTGTAGGTTATGTCAAGACCTTTCAAATTATGTATAGTGTTGCCAGATACGAGCTCTGTAGCGCTTTGTACATAGCCGCGAAATTCAAAAGACAATGGAGATATTTGACTCAGCAAGATATACTAGTAAAATTAGGGAAGTATATGACCTATAATAGAAGTTTCCACGATTACAAAATTAATTGGAATCAGTTAAACGTTTATTGAGTGGAGGCTATTTCAACGGCCCTTAATTCCTACGAAATGCGAAAGTATTAAGGAAATAAAGAAAGTTGTAGCTATTTGCCGATATTGAAACAGGGGCCGACGTATAAGATAAGTGCATTTAAAATTGAATTCGAAGCTTTGTGTTTGCATAAAGTAAATGCAAATTCGTATGCTACCGACTTTTATACAGAAAATTCATACAAAAGTTAAATGTTGGTCGAGACAAAGTACCAACGATGTCCGAAATAATGGTCTCTAATTTTATCGCTATGGCTATGGCTGGGGCATATGCCTACGATTCATAAAATGAAAATTATATTCTCATTTAACAATGTTAAAGCGATCACGCCGCGTGCAAAGGTTATAGTACAAAATATTCCAAATGCAATACACTTCCTGTCTTTTATTACAAACGCTTTGAAAAGTGCAAATCATTTGCATATTTGCGCAAGCAATCGAATTCAGATTTCTGCAGCGCTTCATGAAGTTAATTTTATGCCCCTCGCCATCGAAACAATTCCAAAGTCATTTGCAACGAAAAACAAAACCAGCTTTTAACGCTTCGCTTTTTGATTTTTTGAACTCATTTTCACATGCACACACGACTTCTCTATTTTTATATGCAATTTCCTCTTTTGAATGCAAATTTTCTTATGCATTCATTCATCATCAGTGTGAGGGCGAAGAAGCGTACTAATGAAAGCTGATGGAATATGGTATAATGTGGGGCAGAGATGTTGAAATGACATCAATTTTCGCAGTTCTGACTTGGCAATTTTCAAAGCATTTAGCCAACTTCGCCACTCAAGCTAGAGCAGCAGGTATATATTTATATATATGTACATACATTCCTCCAATCATTCAGTCAGTCATTCACTTTTTTGCCTACATCTTTCTCACTTACAATTTTAACAAATTTTGTTGCACTTTTTATCTTTCAGATACTCACCGCTCACGCCGCCAACTACAAATTGGTTTCCCGTCAAAGGTGTCACCATTGCTGATGGCTCATCGCACTGCAATCAATTCATCTGCAATGTCGAACTGGAGAAACTGAATGTCCATTCGTCCGGTTCGTATCGGTGCGAGGTATCCGGTGATGCGCCCGAATTCAAATTGATCGATAAAACTGCCAACATGACAGTGGGAGGTAAGTAAATTTACCAACGAGTCACCATATGAATATGCAAAATTATGTATGTACATATCTAAGATTTATATTCACATATTTATACCGCTAGATCTAGGTATTTCTGGTGGTAAATTGAATTACTTTGAGTTTAAAAAAGTCTATATTAAAGCAATTTTATTGCAAATGTTCCAAATGTTCATATACATATTTACCGTCAATCTAATATCGCAAGAGGTTAACTGACAGTCAAAGTGATGTTGCCATGACATTGAATGTATTGATCATCCAGAATAAATATTAATGGTCAGAAGCGAGAGTCGTGACTGAGGCATTTCGCATAACTAATTTTATTAAGTGCTGACATATATGTACAATCCTCCATACTCGATATAACTAATTTAATCAATATAGGAACCTCTTTGTATTCATATACATCTTAATTTAACCTACGCTGTGATAGACTAATTATTTGTGATTGAACCGAAAAGCAATTTTTATACTGGAAGTCTCTTAAAGTAGTCTACAGAACACTGAGCCACAAAATCAACACCACTAGAAAAATTACAACAATTTGTATATGTAGTCACCAGCATGTTTTAATCTCCCACTAACTGCTTTCTTCGAAGTGATATTAATCTTGACATAATGCAAGGAAGAGACGAAAATTATTCATTTTATATTTCAAATGATCTTTACGTATTTTATTTACTTGTAGTCGCGATTTATGTGGCAAGTCAAAAATTCTTCCCTAGATAAATGACAGACTTTATAGTAAGCCATGCCACAAGCGGACTTATATAATTTGTAGGTCTAGTGAAATAAATCCATTATGTTTGCATTAAAAAAAAAAAGGTTATATTTAGTATAGTGAGAATTATCCTATTTAGGTCACACCATTTTGTTCGATAACTAGTTGTCATTTTGAAAGCAAAAAACTAAGTTAAAATATTTAAAAGTGTCTATAGAACAGATAGTAATCATTTGGCGCTTACCAACCGAGCTCCAGGAGCTTCTGACGAATCACTATCGAAGCTGACCGATTCTAGTTACAATAACGACAACATAAATTGTAATGATGCACTCAACCGAATTTGTAAGAAACCATCAATCTGAGAATTATTTATAATAACTAGCTTGTATGAATATACATTAATCAAAAACGATTGAACATAGTTTTAAAATTTTATAACAATATGATCATAATTATATAACACATATGCACATTTTTGCAAATTTTGATTGTAGCCATCAAACTTGAAAGTTGCATACCGAATTTCCTTTTATTTTCACAAATAGGCTCAGATCTACTAAGCACATAAATTAAAATATTTCTATCGGTAATATTAACATCTGTTTAAGCGTTCATCTACTACTTTCTTAAACCTATAGTCCGATAAGTACTTACCACCCATGCAAATCAGTGTTTTCCAAATTGCCTATTAACTTTAAGTATCCTGCAAGTTGGGCGCTTTAATAGGCCAATTTATTACAAATCAGCCATCGATTTCCCTTCCATAAGAAATGAGTGCAAAAACAGATGAAAAAACAAGTCAAAAACAATCCATAAATATTTAGGCGCGATGCTTGTGTGTCTGTGTTTATTCGAAATTTATTACCAAATCAAAAAACCCGTGTATTTACATGCTGACTGGCGAAAGAAATGCAAAAAGCGAAATAATGAGAAAAAGAAATCGTTTACAACCACACAGAACAGGGATATGGAAAGAAGACAAATCAAATCATTGAAGAGGAATATGCACATTGGTAGTAATTTATATTATTGGTTTCATTGTTGCTTTTACTATTGTTGTTGTTGTTTTTGCTCTTGCTGACGTTCCTGACGTCGCTAAAAGCTGTTATGTAGCAAATAGACCACACAAATAAATCATTAGTGCCACTGACGGCATAAGGACTCATAGAGGCTCCACAATATACTCACCAACAAACACGAGCTACATTTGTGGCCTCACATCAAAGCGGAAGTGCTATTCACGTTAAAAGGATAATAAATATATCGGGAGAGAGAGTGGGAGGCGACAAGAGCAGACAATAATATAACAACAATTGATTTGAATTTTTCAACGCGAAAATAATGTAACATATTAAATCCCTCATCTCAAGCAAGCCAGGTAAGGCATTTCGGGTGATTCACATCGAAATCATTTCTGGTATCCCGCTTGGAATGTCACAATCACCTATGCTTGTTTGGGCAACCAAAAGTGTGTAGATGAAATGTAAGTAGACGTAGAAGTAGACAAACATAAGTTATCTTGGGTAAACGTGACGCCATAACCTAGAAGCCACCATAAGCAAGAGATTTACAATCGTGCAGTTCATTCTCCTAGATTGCTACAAGTTCGGCTTTTAATGAACCAGGCTCCAGTACCCCGAAGACATCCAACAAAGGCGGCCAACGTGCCAAAAATCTACGATCTCGCATTGATAAACCACCACTTTAAGGAACGCAAGATAAACTTAAAATACCACATGTGTCGTATGCTGAATGAAAACATGAACTTGAGACATCTGTCAGCGCAATGGATGCCACTTTTACTTCCTCGATACAATAAGCGCAACCATGAGACTACTTCGCAGCAGTTAAATTAGGATATAAGAGCAAAAAATAACTCGTATACCACGGAAAGGTCGAATAAGTCATCGGATAGTTAATTTAAAATATTATAATTTCAATAATTAGTAACTCTTCTCCACCAATCAAAGATAATAAATGCTTAAGTCGCAATATTGAAAATTTGTTGAGAATCTGTAATCAATTTAATTAATTTGTAATTACATGTAGAGTTATCACTCTTTTATATGCATCATTCTCTTTTTGTTATCGTCCGGTTTCGTTTTAAGTGATAACAAGTGATTTCTATTCCAAGTTTTGTTGATAGTGATGAATTACTTTTTCGTAAACTATATTTTTAGACATACCTGACCAACAGGTACTTATTGTAAAGCAACCGGTTATTAACGAGTCTTGTATAACACCAATTCGTAAAATACAATTGACTAAATTATGATATGTGAGAAGAACGCATGCTTAGTTCGTGAATCATTGACATCATTACTCATATAGAAGTATGTATTTGTACAAATGGTTAGTGCGTGTCTACCATTTGTCGCCTGCGAGCTCACTTCGAATAGCACCTTTACTTTAGATACTAACTCTAATATATTCTGCGGTTGTCTGACCAGCCAGCTGTCAAAGATAAATGAAGGCATCTGCATGATCCCTTTCCCCCTGCTGTTTTATTTTTTACACGCTTGCCATTTATTATCTCATAAACTTGTTCTAAAATATTCTCTTGCTTGGGTTTCTGTATAACATTTGCTAATAACGCCAGTTGTCGGAGTCAGCGGATAATTTGAGCATTTGCAAATAAGAAGGCCCTAAGTTTGACCTCAACCCAAGACTAGCTGCTCTCGTAAATTGTCAAAAGTGCTACCGCATTTTTAGAATTGTTTTGTATCAAATAATACTTAAATAAAGGTAAATACATATTTGTTTTCAAACTTTATTCAGCAATTCGTTAGCATAAAGATAGGCGTAGTTATCAATAGCAAGTAATGGTCAATGGTCGTCTCGAAAAATTAACACGCCCACACAAATGATTTAAATTTGTGAGCAATCAAGCTATGACAGACACATTTTCCAAAGGAAACGAGTACAGAAGAATATATGGCCTTTAATATTTATTATATTGGGTAGAAGTCTGCTTTCTCTATGGATTAATTTAGATATGATATAAAGAACCGTAACCGTAATTACGATTGGTTCTATGCCATATTGTCGAAAGACTTCTGTATTCATATGGATAGCGTAAAATATTTATAAGCGGTGTATTTCCTAAAGCGAAAAGTATTAAAGTAAGAATAAACATTTTTTAACATTTCTTTGAAAAAATATCATGCAAACGCCTCTTCGAATTCATCTCGCATTGTCATCGGATCGCAACCGAGTCCTCTTTCATTATTCTTATATTCATTTGGCAGCAGGTAGACAAAAGAGATTTTCACGCGAAAACTTGTGTTTTCATCCATACAAAATCTGTCAAACGAAAACACACCCCTTAAAAACTTACATTCCACTCATTATAATCGGTGTCTGCTCTAGTTATTATATATTATATATATTTATTAGAAGACATATTTTGCCAGCCCTAAATGTCAGTTGACAATTTGTTTACATTCCATAATTGGCCTAAACGTACCCTAGAAGAAACTTCTGATGGGTTCACCAATACACTCACATTTGATACGTCAGTACTGTTAATTTACATTTTTAAATTCAGAATTATCCACTGATTGGAGAAAGACGTATGCAGAGCTATTGAGAGGAGGAGATGGCATCAAGTGAAAATTTATTTTTATATATTCTTATTTTTTATATATATTTTTATTGCATTCCTTTTTATATTTAAGTATATTATTATAACTAATTTTGATTAAAAGTTTGAAATTAATTAAAGAAATAAAAATTATATTATCTACTGCGCAAAAGAATTTTGCACTTCTGATAGCGTTTCAGTCATAACTGACAATTTTCAGCTATGACGGATTTATGGTCAGCAATGACTCAACAAAAACAAAACAAACAAACAAAAAGAAAACAAGGATCTTAAGAAAATTATAGAAACTTTGCTATGCGCGCTGACAAATTTTTTTCAGCTGTGACTGTCATATTACCTATCAGATGACCCTCACTGTTCTTGTAGGGTACATAACAAATGTAAACAAATAGATGTGTGAACTGTCAATGAAAACTCATCGAAAACACACAATATCGGTCAGAACGACTTTGGTTCCACAATCCACAAATTGTGTTTTCAAGAGGATTTCAATTCGGTGCGAACATAGTATACTGTTTAAGATGGCGACCAATTTAACAGCTGTCAAGTGATTTATTCTCAGTTTGGTTTGGCAATTCATCATAAATAGACTCACGCCTGAACCACGCTTGCAAATAGTGCAATTTTATTTCGAAAATAATTGTTCTGTGGGGAATAAGTATC